AGCCTCCTGAGTTGTTGGGACTACAGGCATGCACCACCATGCCTGGCTTTCATTTTAAAATAGTGATAGCTTTGTGTATCAGCTGACATTGCTGTATAACAAATTACCCTAACACTCAGTGGCTTAAATTAACAACCATTTATTCTTATGAGTCATTTTTTATGAGTATTATTTCTCATGAGTCAGAGGGTCAGCTGGGGATCAGTAGATAAATCGAGACTCAACTGAGAGTGGCTCTATATTTCTCATCCTTCTCCTATAATCAGCCTGGGCAAGTCCTTCTCGTGGTGGTGACAAGAGTTTAAGAGAGCAAGTTGAAACACAACAAGGCCTCTTGAAGACTAGCTTGGGACTTGCAAACTGTCATTTCCAACTCATTCTGTTGACCAAAGAAAATCATAATGACTGAACCCAAAGAGTGGGGAAGTGTGTCGAACCCTCACTGGGAAGTTATGTGGTGAAGGGTCTGAAAATTTGGAGTTAATAATGGAGTCTATCAGAGCGTGGTTTAGTATCAGGATGTAGCCAACAGCTAGCATTAGGAGCTAGGTTACAACTCAAGTATTTTAACTCATACTGCTTTTATATGAATCAAAGATCTGAACAGCATGCAATCATTCCTCAGAAGTCATTCTATGTGGGTACCAGGAGTATGAGGCCCTAAATCCCTTAATAATAATCAATATGTATTGAGTGCCTTCTTTGTGCCTAATGCCATATTAAGTTATGGGGCTTTAGGAGGTTCAAGTCTAACAACAAAAACAGATCATGGACAAATACTTACAAGATGGTGTGATGCTTCCAATAGTAAAAATATTTAAAGGATATAAAGGTAGCAACAGAAGAGAGGAGTAATCAACTCTGCTTTGCAAAAAGACATAAAAAGCTTTGTTGAGTAGGAGATATTCTTATTAAATCCTGAAGGGTATACAAGTCAGTGTTCCCACAGAAGAAGTTTAGGTAGAGAAGTACTGTTCGTAGGAAATATTATGGCAGTCTGTTGACTCTTTAAAATTAAGAACTATAATTAAAATCTCTTGTTTGTGCCCAGATAATAGAAAAGTCTCTAAGAGCCAGTGAATAACTTTATATTTAACTCCTTCGTACATTAGTCATTGCAATTCTCAAACGTTGGCATGCATCAGAATCACCTGGAGGACTTGTTGAAACACAGATTGCTGGACCCTACCCCAGAGTTTCTTGTTCAGTAGATGTGGAACCAGACCAGAGAATTTGCATTTCTATAATAACAAATTCCCAGATGATGCTGATGGTGCTGATCCAGGGATAACACTTTGAAAACTATTGATTTATTGAATTCTTTTTATGTATCTGGCACTCTGCAGTGTGGTGAGT